TATATATATATATATAACTCAATTATTTCAGGTGTATAGTATTTAATTATCATGTTTTAAGGGCAAAAATTGGCAGATGTTCTTTTTTTTTTTGTACCTGCTCAAATTAAGGACCACAACACTTCTTAGTTTTATATTACTCTTTACAGCTTTATGGTGTTTAAAATCAAGATGTCCTCTTGAAAACACATCTGCATCACACACAGCGCTTTATTTTCGGGTGTTTCTTCAAATTTTCATACAATGCTATTAACTGTTAATTTTTCAAATATCTCATATCAAACATCTCTAAATATTGAGAATATGCTTAACATAACACATTTGAATAAAATCAAAAGCAGCTCACAACAGGAATGACTTTTATTGTCCAATATTTTAACAACTGAATACTGAACAGCACAGAAAGTACAGTCAAACATAATTTAACCACTTTGAATAAACTTAATTTTTTGTAATAAAAGTAATAATTTAAATTCTTAGGAAATGTGTTGTATGATATCATCTCCATAAATATTTAAAAGTAAAACTCAGGATAAAAACTACTGCTCTACATTCAAAGATTATAAATATTAGTCGTCATCATTTGGAGCAATAGTGGTAAAAAAAAAAAGAAAGAATAAGAAAAGGTTCTCATGCTAGATTTTATTCAAGCTGCTGGTTTATTTAACACACTTGTTTATCTTTTTTTAATCCCAGCCCCACATAAAACCTAGATGGGAAGAACCTGGCCCCTGCATCAGCTCCTTTAATGACCCAGTGGGCTTTTGAAGAGCAACAATGAGGTCGTTTGACATCTGCTTCGCTGGTGAGACGAGACAACGCTACACTGTGTGGCTAATGTATTTAACTGTCCATCCAGATTTGGAGAATGGGGTTAGAGAGGAAAATGAAGAAATATGATGATTGCCGCTGATCCTGAGTCTGACAAATGTTAGTTCGGCCTCACTGCTACACAAACACACACTCGCACACGGATAATAAGAGACAAAATCCAATTGACTTAGCATGATTAGGCTGCCTTTCATTAGGATCCTCATTTGCAGGGCAATTTCAGAGGCAGTGGACCGGGACATAATGCACAACATCTGCCTTCCCCTTGTTCCTTGTTCAGATACATAAACCCACGGAATCTAAGAAAAGCCTTTATCACTCGTATGAAAAAAGGCTCTGAAGCACCTGCATGATCTGGTCCTTGATAGGCCTGTTTTATGGCCCAAATATATAAACTCTATTTCTGCAAAATTACTGGTATTGTTTTCTGAAATGGATCAAAAACTAAGCCTTTCTTCAAAGACTGTTGACGTATCTCCACTTTTTTGAGAAAAGATTTATCAGAAATTATCAGTGTCATGAGAGCAAATTCCTATGATGTTCAATCTTTTAAGATCTGTGGTGTTATTACTGTCTTTAAAGATTTCAACAAGCAGAACCTAAAGGATGTGGGATGCATTCCAGTGGTTTTGGACGATCCACAGGCTGCACAGCTATGCGCAGGTACAGAAATCCTCATTCACCTGAGCCGATTCCCTGCCATCCAGACTAAATTGCAAAGCAAGTAAAGACAAATCTGAACATTTGACGCAGGAGGTCTGTCAGGGAAGGTTTGGGAAATACTGCTCTAGAAGAACAGAATGATCGGAAAATAGCTCTAGTTTTACTTTTCCACATATTCAGATCATCATTTTTAGTCATCATGAGATATGGAACATGAAGGAATGATTCATAAAGTCTGTCCTCTGAACTCAACAGGATTCCTCGGAATGGGCTGGAGGATGTTAACTGGAAGAGCTGTTTCTAGGGTTTCCTCCTGAACTTTAGACTTAGACAAACTTATTGTCATT